CCTAGCAGTAACGTCATACAAGAGGTGAACTAAAGAAATGGTGACATGTGACACTTGAGTTCTCCCTTATGAGGGGTCGGTATCCTTGCTTACGATCTGGCTTAGGATTGCTCTCAGTATTGGTGTACTTTCTCCATAATTTACACAAGTTATTGCTGGCCTCGAGGTTCTCCCTCTTGGCTCTTTCCTTGGTCCACTCGTGATCGAAGTCCGACCTCTCATCAGCCGTACCTTAGAATCGACCTGGCTTTGCAGCTATCTTACAAGATGGATACTAGGATAAATTATGATCCATTAAAGAAAACACAGCACAGTGACACAGAATAAGGAAAATCCACTGCTAAATGCAGCGTGCAGAAACGGTCGATCCAATAAACTGGGAAAACAAGGATAACAGAAGAAAGTATCACAGAAAGAAGGTTACTTGGTAGGAGGGGTGGGGGGGAAGTTGAAATGTCGTGCACTGCCCCACTTCCTCCGTAGATGAGTTGGCAGGTCACCTATGTTAACTAGTCAAGAGTGCAACATATGTGACGTGATGCGTAGAAGGGTTGTAGCGACTGTGATTTAGTTGAATCTGACCTTGCATAGGTGGCAGCAGATGGGTACATTCAGATTAATGAAAGAGGATGGTGGTAGTAATTTTAAATCAGGATAAAAAAACTTCTGTTGACACGAAACTTGGTCAAGAGATTACTCGTTCAGTGATTACAACAGGTGCTGAGCATCAATGATAACGCAGCCGCTGACGTACCAGTGTTGAGCATTCGTGATCACGCATCTTTATTGTTGAAACGTTTCTCCTACACAGTAGGCTTCAGTCAAATACAAAGGCAACAGGTGTAGTAGTGAAACAAAGATGTAATCAGTCTCCATCATCCTTGGAGAAAAGATATTTGAGGTGGTCAGTCCCTCAGCCTGAAGAAGAGTTCAGCTCTATGGTCTGGAACGGTATTAACTGAAGCATGAGAAAGGAGCCTTTGGCATTTGCTAAACCATTTTAAAACCACCAGTACCCAACCCAAATTTAAAACCCAAAAAAGGTAAAAGGGACCATTTCCCCAAAACCCCAGTTAAAATCCCGGGAAAAACCCAAGGTTTTTTTCCCATAAACACAAACCTCCCGGGGTTCCCCCCGGCCCCTTTCCTTTTTCCACCGGTCAATCCACCTCCCACCGTCCCAACCCCCACCATTTCACAAAACCTCCAAAAAACCCCCAGTAAAAAAGACCAAACCCCCAGAAAAACCACAGCAAAAAACCCCAACGGGAAAAAAATAAAACCCCCGTTAAATCCACCGGCAAAATCACCCAAAAACCCCCGGGAAAACCCAAGGGTTTAAACAAAAAAAACACAAAAAAGCCCCCAAAAAGAACAAAACCGCCCACCCCCAGATAAAACCCCCCATTTTAAAACCGCACAAAAAACAAAGGCCCCCAAACCAAAGGGGTTTACAACCCCAATTTAAAATCAGCAAAAAACCAAGGACACCCAAAAGAAAAAAGGGGGGAACAAAACCGGGAAAAAAAACCCCCGGACAAAAAACCCCCGGGTCAAAAACCCCCTTTTCTTTAAAAACCGGGGCAACACAAAAGAACCAAACCCCAGCCCTACCCCAGGGAACACCGGAAAAACCCGGGACCCAGGGTTTAAAAAACCCATGCACCAACCCCCCAGACCAAAACCAAAACAAAAAACCGGGAAAAAAGGGTAACAAAAACCAGTCCCAACCACCAGAAAAAAAGGGGTAAAAACCCACAGCCCCAAAAGCCACCCACCGGGAACAATTAACTAAACCAAAGAAAACCCCAGCAAAAACCCAACCTTTCCCAAAGGGGGGGAACAAAATTATTTTAAACCCCTTTAAAAAAGGGTTTAAAAAACCAAGGGGAAAAAAACGGGGAAAAACCCCCAGTAAAACCATTTTGAAAAAAGAATCCCCTGCCCAAAAACCCCCAATTATTTTTTTAATTTTTTACTTAAGGAAAAACCCCCGGAATAAACCCCAAAAACCCACCAAAAACCCCCCCAAGCCCCCCCAATTTTAAAAAACCAAGGGGCCAAAAAAAAAAACCCCAGTAAAAACTTCCAAAACCCAAGTACACAACACCAGAAAAACAACCAAACCAATAAAACAACCACCATTAAACAAAACCAAGACACAAAACCGGGAAAACAAACCACCAGAACAAAACCCAAAGAACACAACCACCAGCCCCAAAAACCCATAAAACCCCAACCATCAAAAAACCACCAGAACCAACCCCAGTAAAACAACCCCCAGTACAAACCCCCAAAACCAACACCCCAAACCAGGACAAAAAACCCCATAAAACAACCAGTAAAACCCAAAAACCCAAAACAGTCCCACAACCCCCCAGTAAAAAAAACCCACAAGACAAAACCCAAACCAGTACACAACCACCATTTCACAACCACCAGCCCCCAAAAACCACCTACCAACCCCGGGAAACACCACCTAACAACCACCAGAAAACAA